CCCCAAAACCCCAAAACCCCAAAACCCCAAAACCCCTTTTAGAGGTTCTTGTATTGTCTGGATAATTATTTATCAACAAATGGATGCTTTGAACTGAAAGAAGGAAATAAATAAACCGTTGAAAACCCCTAGAGAAGCCTTCCATAGTTCGGAAAAAGTTGTGAAAAAGTTGATGCAGCCTCTACAGAAGACACATGTCTATAGTGAAGATAATCTAATTGAGTATCTGACCCAAAATTTGAACTTGATAGCTGAGATTGATAGTGAGTTAAGAGATTTAGTTGAGATGTCAAACTATCCTAATTTCAAACAAAAATGTGCTGAATTCTCGAAATTATGAGAGGATATTAAAGAGATTATCAATCTTTCATTTGATAATTTGGACCACTTTAGTTCATTCAATAGGCTGGATGATCTTAAGGAGCAAAGAGATCGAGCTGAAGTTATCATTTGAAGCCTTACAACGTACTGAGAGTCTCTTCGCCATAATACCGATGAACCAAATAAGCTAGGCCATAAGCCTGAATTTAATGAAGATGAAATGCTGATGTCTGAGCATGTAAATATTGATCATGCTGAGCTTGAAAAAGCAAAAGAACAAGGAGCGTTCGAAGATCTGTCAATAGACTCAGAAGAATTAAAGGAGTCAGCCGACGGTAAAGATACAGACTCACTCCCATCTAAAGCTCAGATAACTTTAAATCAGCTCATAATGAAGAGAATTGAGAACATGAAGATACTAGTCAAACAAAGAACCCCTCTCAAAGGTCCTTTGCATAAGCAAAGAGTAAAAGATATTAGAAAAGGAAAATTTAAGATCTGTATTCCCGCAGTTGCTCTAGCCTTCAAGTACATAACCGAACTGTTCAAGATAATCAAGCGAACCATGAAAGAAGCCATCGAGGAACAAAAGGAGAGGTCATTCAAATGGTTCATAATCTACGCCTCCAAATTCTCTCAGATTTCTGAATTACTTTTCGCATCTTTGTACGCTAAAGATGATATGCTTTATAAAGATTTTTCAGACGAAAACTGGGAGAAATTCTTCAGTGTTTATGATTTATACGAGCCAAGAGATATTACTGAGTTCAATCATCAGTACCGGAATCTTTGTAATTTCCAAGGTAAGTCCGTCTGAATAATTCTATAGCTCTGAGTGCTGCTTTCATATCTAAAGCAGGTAACCATAGTAACGCCTTTTGAGAATTTTTGGGGCAAGCAAAATATGCTGCATATTACCTGTTCTTTAAGAGAGAAATGAGGGAGCAGTTCAACATGTTCATGAGCAATCCTGATATTGATCTATGCCTGAAGATATACAATATGCCTGAGACAGCCTTCATGCAGGCTATGCTCTCAGTGACTTATCCAAAGATACAGGTGAACGAGGTGGTGTATTTACCAATGCTTGAACAGACTCTCACTTTGGTGAACTTGAAAGAAACTGCTGAAAACTACCAAGATTACATGAGGAAGATACAAGACCTTCCTGACCAAGAAACCTCATATGAACAAAACAAAGAGGGAGAAGAGAAGAAGACCATCACTAAAAATTTGATGGATATCAAACATCCTGCTTCTGCCTCCATAGGAGATTTCCAACATAATTCTGCAGAAGAATTTGATGAAAATGAACAGAGTCAATTCTTGACTGATCCAAGTTCTTACAACCCTGAGAAGAATGTGATGGTCAGGGTGCTCTCTCCATTCGAACTCCCAGTCGACTGGGAGACTAGGAAGGTTGATCAGACTATGATCGATCATATAAATAAAAATGAAGGACGACATTCATTTTTCTCAAAAATTAAAAATACTATGAAGAAATGAATAACAAATGTTTGATGCTGTTGTTTATGAAAATGAGGAACTTCATCTGGTCGTCATGAAAAAGACGGATCTAAGACAAAAGAAGAAGCTAAGACTCCAGCAAAAGAATATATCGATGTAGAGGCTATTATGGTTCACATTCATGGTGGAGGATTTGTATCAATGAGTAGTTCTTCTCATCAGGGGTATACGAGAAAGTATGCAAACGAGTTAGGAATCCCTGTATTTTCAATAGATTACAGACTTGCTCCTGAGGATCCATACCCAGCTGCTTTGAATGATGTCTGGCAAGTCTACTATTGGTTAGCAACTAACTGTACAACTCAATTCGGAATCAAGCCTGCTAAAATAATTGTCACAGGCGATTCAGCAGGCGGAAACTTAGCTTGTGCTTTAACAATGTTGTGCATCGAGAAGCATTTTAGAGTTCCAGACTTTCTTCTTCCTGCGTATCCAGTATTGAACTTATCTTTGTTGAACTTCTCTCCAAGTATGATTCTGTCACTTGATGACTATATTTTACCTACAGGTTTTCTAATGGTTTTTATTGAAGCTTATGTTAAAGATGCCGATGCTGAAAATGATCACTTTCTGTCACCAGGAATCTGCCCTCAAAATGTGTTAGAGAAGTTCCCACCGACAAGAATAATGACAGCAGGAAATGATCCACTTAGAGATGAGCAGTACAGATTTGTTCCCAAACTGGTTGAAGCGGGTGTTGATGTCAGGTGCAAAGAATACCTCTACTTTCCTCATGGATTATTGAGTTATAACCTTCCAGTTGTAGGGATTAAAGAGTGTCAAGTTTGAATAGATCAAGCTATTAGCTACTTTGAAGAAAGTATTGACAGAGACCCTCCAGAATACAAACCCGTGCAAAACTTTAGAACTCTAACTAAAGGTAGGTCTGCCTGTTAGAGGAAGATCTCATAAGAAGAGAAGGCTAATACAGAGATGTTGACAAAATTAAAGCTCAATAAGATGCCTTCAACTATTCTATTTATAATAGGGGTTTTGGGGTTTTGGGGTTTTGGGGTTTTGGGGTTTTGGGG